AAACTCAAATAAAAAAAATACTAATATTTTGACCCTTGTTGATAATATCAGAAAACTAATATTAAAAATTCTAATTCTGCTTTAGCAGATGAATTATTAGAGCTCATAGAAAAAAAAATTGCCGAATAAGGTATAAACAAAATGCTATGCGGTGCTTCTGGAAAGTGTTTTTTTTTTTTTTAAAGGAGGGATTATATCTCTTTTCTTCCCTTTGATCAACTCACTCGCTGGCGTATAATTGCAATGATTAAAGTTCTTGGAGCCGTGGTTTACCGCGGGCAGATGGGGGCGCATCTCAGAAACGGCGGAGCGGTGAGCTCGGGTCTCTAACAATTTTATGGAGCTGCTCTACCAACCCCGAACTGCCAACTTCTAGAATTCTTGCATGTGAGGGCGAAAGAAACTTAAATTTTGTTTGGGCCATTGTTATAATTATTATTTTTTAATGTGGCCTATCCTCACCCAGAATGATATACCATATAATTATTTAAATCATGTTTTTGAAGAATATCTAATGACATGGTAAAATGCTGGTGATATGTTAAATAAAATTATGAATTAGTTTGTTCATTAGCAAACAAATAACCAAGAGCTTTCAGCTTTTAAGTATTTTAAATTCTTTGTATTCTTTGTTTTTAAAGGTTTCTAATATGAATTAGTAACACTGTGAAGAACATCTTTACACATTAAATTTTAGTACATGGCAGCTCACTTCCTTATTAAACAGTAGTTGATTTGGAAGTTCAGGGTTTTTCATGCATCTTGGCAAATCAGTGTATAATTTTCCCTGAAGCGAAAACCATAGAGTGCTTCTATCCTTGCTTCATTAAAAAGCACAGAGCACTATCCTGAAATATTAAAAATTTGGCTATATATCAGGGACATGCTATCTCATTTTTGTTTTGATTGAAAATTAGTTTTTTTCCTATAAAAATTATTGGTGAACAATTAATAGTCTGAACTAGATGTGTGAGGGAAAGAAACCCTGGAGTCAAGGATCATTCCAAGGCATTTGGCCTGAGCAACTCGAAGTATACAATTTACTCTCATGGGGAAGACTAAGGTAGAAAGAATTCTCCAAACTCAACTTTGGGGGGATTCCCCCAAATTAAGTCTTGAGTAGGTAAAACATGAGATATCTGTTAGAGATCCAAGGGGAAATGTCACATGGGAAGTTAAATATATGAATCTGGAATTCAGGAGAGAGGCTTAAGCAATGAATCTGAGATTCATCTGCTTAGAGGTGACATTTAAAGTGATGAGGTGGGTGAGACTATCCTGCCAAAGAAGATATAAAGAAATGAGAAGAGATGAGACCAGAAAAACTTAAGAGGCTGTGGTCTCTTGGAGGTCACGTGAAGGATTTGCTTTGGGAAGAAAGGCGTGAGAAACTATGTCAAATGTTGATGATAGGACAGATAACATGAGAGCAAAGAAATGAGGGCAGAGATGAGTGTGGCATGTGGAAGCCACGGGCGCCTTCGGGAGGGTGCCTTGGTGAGGGATGGGGTGGAACCTGGCAGAAGTGGGTACGGGAGAAAGTAGGAGGTGCAAATGCTTGGAGAGTGAGTACAGTCGACTCTCGCGGAGTCTTGAAGTAAAGCAAAGGAGAGAAAAGGAGCAGAAGTTGGCGTAGCAAGTGAGGTCAAGTGAACATTTTTTCTTTGTTTTGTATCAATATGGGAAAAATAATATGTTTTTATGCCAGTAGCCTTGATCTTGGAAAGATAGAAAAATTAATGAAGCAGGAAATAGAGGGGAAAAAGGCTGGGACCCTGTTTTTGGAGAGGGTGTGATCAAATATGTATGTGGAGAGACCAGCTTTCGAAAGGAACAGAGTTTGCTGATAAGAGCTGGCAGAAAGGCGAGTAAATGTTGAAAATACTGGTAGGTGATAGATTTAAGGGTGCTTTTTAGCGGAAGCCCCTTACTGATGGCTTTACTTTTTTTTTCAGTGAATTGGAAGCAAGGTCATTAATGGAGAATGAGGGTGGTAGGAAGGTGCTTGAAGTGTGAGGAAACAACTAGTGTGAAATGTCAGCGTGTGACAGTCGAGAGTGAGTGAACTGGGGAAGCACAATATGAATGACAAGCAGCATTAAGGATCCACCTGAAGTTTGGGGTCATGATGTTGAAATGGAGCCAGTCAGCACGGTGATGTGTTTATCTCCAGCCTCTTCAGCCGCCTGGGTGCGGGCATGACGCAGCCGCAAAACGAATGCACCCTGGCTGGTGGTTTAGCCAAAGGGGGACGAGGGAGAAATTACCAAGTGATTTCTGTGAGGACCCAAGGATATGAATATCATGAATGTCCTTGGAATCTAAATGGAGGCAGGAGACAAGTAGGCATGTCGGTGGGTGAGATAAAAAGAATCACGTGTCAGAAACCCCAGCTGGGTGGCGAGACCGGAGGAGCCAGGGCGCTGAAGGGGGGGCGGGGGGGGGGGCGGGGGGGGGGGGGGGGGGGCGGCTGGGAAAGGCGGGGGCGGGGCCGCAGGCGGGACCGCAGGAGTGAGTGGCGAGGGTGTGGTGGGGACCCGACGGTCAGGGCAGTGCCAGGGAGACAAGGCAAAGCAAACCTGGGGCTCAATACTTTTTTACAGTTTTGTAAACTTTTAATTTTAAAAAAAGATATAATCGGAAACTTTTTAATATCATCACATATGAATTAAAGAGATAAGACTGGAAATTTCTGTTAGCATCTGTTTAGGGAAAGGAATAGGATTATCTGAATTTTTTTCCTAGACGTGAAGAGCTGGAAAGTTACACTCCTTTAGTTAATTTTGATGTTGGTTTGATGTTGTATGGGGTTGAGCCAAACAAAATTGCCAATATTCAACTATTTATAACCTATAAAAATGGCGGTTCCTTATGGTTCAGCCTAATATATGTGTGTATGTGTATACACTTGTGTACACAGATCAGTGTGGCAAAATTGCTCAAACAAAAGTTAAACAAAATCTCTGAGATATTGTCAAACGAAAGTTAAAGAAAATCTCTGAGAAGTGAGACATGTGAGGATGAGGAGAGGTTGGAACAATTGTGTGCCATTGGGTAGGAATGAAAGATGAGGCAGCTGCTATGGGAAACAGTATGGGGATTCCTCAGAAGAATAAAAATAAAATTCCCATATGATCCAGCATTTTTGGGTGTATCTGAAAAGAACGGAAGCAGGGACTTGAAGTGATATTTGTATAATTATGTTCAAATATCACTTTGAATATAGCAACATTATAGAATATAGCAACATTATTCACAGCAGACAAAAGGTAGAAGCAATCCAAGTGCCCATTGTCAGATGAATGAAAAAAACCAAATGTGGCATATACATAGAATTAAATATTATTCAGCCTGAAAAAGGAAGGAAATTCTGATACGTGCCGCCGTGTGGATGGAACCTGAGGATGTTTTGCTAAGTGAAGTGTGTTAGTCACAAAAGAACAAATAGTACATGATTTCACTTACGTGAGGTACTGAGGGGAGTCAGGTGCGTAGAGGCAGGAAGCAGAATGGTGGTCTCCATGGGCTGGGGGACGGGGCACAGGGAGTTAATAGTTAAAGAGTTCCCCTTTGGCAAGATGAAAAGAAGACTGGGGATTGGTTGTACAACAATGTGAATGTAATTAATACCACTGAACCGTACACTTCAAAATGGTTAGGATGGAAAATTATGTTGTGTGTTCTACAACAGTTAAGAAATTTAAAAAATTTAATGGGCATTTACAATTACCACTAGTACAAACATAAGCACGTCATTACCTATAGGCAATAATGTTACTTTTACAGCACAGTTCACGCGCCAAAAGTAGTCAGAAAACAGGAATTTACGACGTGGTCACTCAGCCTTTGCAAGTGGTTGTGCGTGACCAAGCTGGCCTCTCCTCCCATCTGGTTCCCGGATGTTCTCAATTATCAAGTGACGACGAAGGGCAGCCTCTGTAAAAACAAATTCCATTTCAGACTTAATCTATTTTGTTAGGGCCAATTTGTATTATGAAGACTTCCACCATAGGATAAATATTTTGGCTGAAGTAATTTTGTATTTGGGATTTCATTCCTTTGATAATGGAAATGTTTACATAAGGATGCTCCCATTTGTGGCCACTTGTAACCAAACACTTCACTCCGATTTCAGTCCCAGTGTTTGCTTTCATGTTTATGAGCAAACCGGGACCCAGAGGTTAGCTGAAGTGACCACATTTTTCTCACATATATTAAAGACATATTGGCTGCCACTATATCGACATATCCTAAAAAGAAAAAGCTAATATTCTACATCTATTATTGTATTCCTATAGAATTATTTTTTACAAGTTATTTGAAAACCTTGTTTTTGGCCATAATTTACAGTGGTCGGTCATTTTTCTATACTTTAGCTTGATATTCAAGTTATTCAGTCAACTCAGGCTTTGATTTAATACCACCTCCCCCAATAGCGTGGTGTAACAGAGTAATTGTAACAGGCTAATGAGAGGAGAGGCAAATTTAATCCATAAGAAGAATGCGTTTGAGCTCCAGGAAGTCCAAAGGGTTCCACGAGAGGTTTCACAAATGAAGGCCTCACATTAGGTGAATGGAGGCGAGCGGAGAAAGGAGGACTGGAGAGGCGTGAGGACTGGGCTCGGGAGGCCTGTGCCTCCGCATTCAGTCCGCGTTTGCACTGCAGGAATCCTGTCTTCGCGGGTCCAGGCTTAGCAGCAAGTGTGATAGTACATTCTCAGTGAAAAATCTTTGAGATAGTGACAGTTTTTTAAAAAGAGTTTTGTGATGTACATTTTTCATGTATATTTTCTGATTGGTCCAACATGATATTAGATTCGTATATTTAAGAAAAGCTCATTATTGGGTCTGCCTGAGCAAGATGGCTGCTGCCGTCTCGGGGATGAGTCAGCACTGGGAGTCCACCGGCTACTCTTTCAGTTCTCTCCCCAAAGCTTCCTTCTCTGGTCTCTCCTCAGGAGTCTCTAGCCCACTCTGCCCCTGCCTTTGCCGGAGACCAGGGAAAAGAGTGTTGGTTGCTGTTGATACCCATGATTTGTACACTTTGTCAGGACCATTTACTTACACTGCAAAGCGACCTTCAGATATCAGTTCAAACCTCTGAATAAAACAAAGGAGTATACAGAATGTGAACTGATGAACACATACAAGACTGACAACTGCCTTAAACATCACTTACACATCGTTGAAAATAAACCCCTGTACCCAGTTATCTATGATAGCAATGGTATCATCTTTTCCATGCCTCTGATCATCAATGGAAATCATTCCAAAGTAACCGTAAATACTAGAAATGCATTTATTGAATGCATAGGAACTGACTTTACTAAGGCAAAAATAGTTCTTGATATTATTGTCACCATGTTCAGTGAATATTGTGAGAATCAATTCATGGTTGAAGCAGTTGGGGTAGCTTTTCCTAATGGAAAATCATTTACCTTTCCAGAACTGGTTTACCGAAAGGAGGTGATGAGAGCTGACCTAATTAACAAAAAAGTTGGAATCAGAGAAACTCTGGAAAATCTTGCTAAGCTTCTGATCAGGATGTCCCTCATTCTGACCTTAAGGTCAGAAATCATTGGTGATGGGAATCAGACTGAGATTAAAATCCCTCTGACCGGAGCTGAGGTTATCCATGCATGTGACATTGTAGAAGATACAGCTATTGTCTTTGGCTCTAACAACATTCAGATGACTCTCTCAAAAACATACACCATTGCTAATCAGTTTCCCTTTAATAAGCTCACAGAAATTCTGAGATACGACATGGCCGCCGCTGGCTTCACTGAGGCACTTGCCTCTGCTCTGTGTTCCAAGGAAGATATTGCTGATAAACTTGGTTTGGATATCTCTGCAACACAGGCAGTCCGTATAAGTAACCCTAAAATGGCTGAATTTCAGATGGCATGCACTGCCCTTCTTCCTGGCCTCCTCAAGACCATAGCAGTGAATCGGAAGATGTCCCTTCCTCTAAAACAATTTGAAATCTCTGACATCGTAGTAAAAGATTCTAGCAAAGATGTAGGCGCAAGAAACTACAGGCATCTTTGTGCTGTTTATTACAACAAGAATCCTGGGTTTAAGATCATCCATGGGCTCCTGGACGGAATTATGCAGCTGCTTGATGTGCCTCTTGGTGAGAAGAAGGGACATGTGATCAAAGCCTCAGAAGGCCCTGCTTTCTTCCCTGGGCCATGTGCCGAGATCTTTGCCAGGGGTCAAAGCGTTGGGAAGTTGGGAGTCCTTCACCCTGATGTGATCACCGAATTTGAGCTGACCATGCCCTGCTCCTCCCTGGAAATCAACACTGAATCCTTTTTATGAAGATGGGTCTCTGCTGGCGGTTCTCTCCCTGAGAGCCCCTTTCTCCTCCACTGCTGTCCTTTAGTCGTGCTCACAGGGAACAGCCATTGTGATCGAATGTTGAAAGAAACAGAAAGCACTGTCAAGAAAAAAAAAACAACAGAAACAAAAAAACCAAACTTATTATTTAGTTTCAGGAAAACCATTTTGTCCAAAGTATTACATTAGTACTATTACATTTTATTAGATGCATTATTGTGTTTGTATTTGACTGTTATATTTTGGTCTATCAACTTTAAACACTAGAAATGTATTGCTGGTTTTATGTTTATATTCATTTAGGAAATATTACAATAAAAATAACAAGTTAATACTGGCAACCTGCCAGCATTTTTTACCTTTAAAGGCTTCATGCATTTGTATATGAATAGGATACAATAGAGCACTCTGGTGTTAGGGAATATTGTGCCTGCGATGTTTGTGTTTTTGTAAAGTTAATTTGCGTTTGGGAATCACAGTATACTGGTTCATCTAGAGTCATATTGTATGATGTTTAGAAGAAAGGTTAAGTTATAACAATATGAAAATAGATATACAATTATATACATACAAAAGACTACTAGGATTTCAACCAATCAATATACGATTAGAAGATTTATCTATGATAAAAGGCATTAGGTATATTTGATAAAGTACTTTGCATTTAGAAATGGCATTCTAAGGGAATCAATAGTACACTCGATTTTTAATTTTGCATTTAAATTATTTGAACAAAAGGTTTCTCCCATCCTATTAGCCATTTTAAAAAGCCTTGAAATGGGCTTGCAATATTTTGAACAGATCGCGATTGCGAAACAGGTCTTCAGTTTTTGCAGCCAAATATAAAAGATGGAGGCCAAAGGTTAAGGGACGGTATGGCTTAGACTCTAAATGGAAAGAGAACAGAGACAAAGAGAAAATGATCTGGCATTATGTGCTCACATCAATGGCAGTAATTAGGCTTTGCAGTATCATTAGATATGATAACAATAATTTATGGCCTTTCATGGTATTTCACATGCTAAGCATACAGAAGCACATGGCAGCGGGACCCTTAATATTTCTCATTGTTCTTTTTTTCCAAGGAAATAATAATATTCAATTGTCATGAACTGGAGAAACACACACACAAATTTTGATTTTATCTTTAAAGGAAAAGAGATTGAATATGTTATGCTTTCTAACCATCTGCAAAATGTATGGTAGCGGTAAAATGCTAACAAGATATTGAGGTGAATATATATAAGTGTACAGTATTTAAATTTATAAAAATTAATTTGACATTATATTAAACACCGAGTTAATGTTCCTACCAGCCTAACAACTGAACTATGACATGTTATACCATAGTGTTAAATTGAACCAAGATATTCCAGGTTTTGATGGTGAGAAACCAGTCGTTAATCAGTTTAAATCTACACATGCTGTGGTTAGTTTAGAAGAACTCCCTGCACGGACACTTTGGAAATGCAGTCTCTATGACAGGGACTGAGAAATGCCTTAAATAGTTAAATATTGCATTTAAGGCAACGTGATGTGGTCAGCACATTAAATTAAGTTGAAGATCTAATTTTTATTTAGTTTTTGAGGCATAGTTACAGAGGGCATTTTAATAATTAAATTAGATTTTTTTCCTTGATTTCGAACTGAGTCTTCAAATGCTCTGGTTGATCATAGTGAAAAGGCAATTGCAGTTCTAAACTTGATTTTGGAATTCAAGTGTCTGTATGAACAGACTCTTTAGCATAGTGCTATGCAATTTTGAAAATTTACCAGACCCCGGTTTCTGAGGCTTTGCTTTGGAGAAAGTCGACTCACTAACCTCAAAGGACGTGAAACAAAGGTGCAGGGTCTGGCATATTCACAGGATTTAAGTGTATTATAAGAGCTATAAAAGGCAATGTAGCTAAATTTATCTTTCTGAACGGCTAAAGTACAGCCTACCTTTGTGTTATGTTTAGGTGAGATTTTGTTCGTTTACCCAATGTTCTTTGTTTTCTGGCTGTACTTCTAACTCACACAGTCTTCTCTCGAAGTGAAAGCCAGGAAGCTGGCACAGAAGTACAAGAAGTGCTGCGCGTTACCTGGTTCTTAGGATAATAATATCAACACCACTTTTAGCCACATTTCAAAGTTCCCCTCTACTTACTCCGATAACTTGTAATTAAGTGCCATAAAATCTCCTTTTCCCAGTTGCTAACTGAACTGACAATTTGACTCTTCTTTCAAAATAAAGCTTTAACTTTACAGAAGTTAGTCATAAACAGGTCTATTTCGTCCACTGGAGGCTTTTAAAATGAGAAATGTAAGCCCAAGAGCAGCACGTGAACTTACTAAACGAGGAGATAGATGAAAAAATGTAAAACAAAACCCAGAAATATAGTTACATCTATCTGACTAGACTTCCAGACTTTGTAAAATAAAATCCTTACTCCTCAAATGGCTTTTACTTTGCCCAATAGACATATTTCATCCCCACTTCTGACGCTATCCAATCTATTGCTTTCAGCTAATTCTTGGTATATCAAAAGACTAGGCATGTAAGGTGCATATTATCCATGAATAAGGATGGTTCAACATAGTAATATCGATTATGGCGACACAACATGCTAACAGAATGAAGGCTAAAACCACATGATATATTTCAATGGAGGATGAAAACGCATTTGACAAAACTTAGCATATTAAATTGGTTAGTATTCAATTTTAAATATTTTAAACACTTGAAAACAGCTTTTCTAGAATATATGAGTAAGGCCAACTTACAACACTTCATTGTCAATTCTTGGCAGCTTGAGAACTCTGCGGGCCAAGAGCTCTGCAGTATCCATCTTCATATGCAGAATAGAAATACTCATACTTACCTCACGGTGTTGCTATGACTATTGCAGGAGACCACATGTTCAAGGTCTCAACTTGGTGTACCAGGAGCTCAAAATATGGTGCACAATAAAAATAGGATAACAATAATGGCGATTTTTGCTCTTTGTAATCTCAAAGCTTCGAAGATTCTCAATGATTTAATGGCCTTGAAGGGCAGAATGCACATATAATTGACATGCAAGATAAATCATAGTAATCTATTCATTGTTAGAAACACAATGGAGTTATGTAACCTGGATACTTAAGATATTAACATTTTTGAGGCTTTTGATGACAGAGCTAAAGATTTACATCGTTATCCTTTTCTGACTTTCCCACATTGGTGAAGTTTTTCATTTTTCAGGCAGCTACTTCCTCAATATACTCCAGGGATTGGATTAAAATGAGTGTTACTGAAAAGGTAGATAGAGGTAAAGACAAAGCTCAAAAAATATTCCTATCTGAAGTAATCTTCCAAGGGAGTGAAAAGGGAACCATTGAGCTATTTCATAGCAATATTTTCCTTCCAAACAGGTAACTTGTATTGGTTGTAGACCTATCCACATAATGATCCATTCACATTTGAAAAAAAGAAAAAAATAAATAAAAGAAAACATTTAGGATATGCTGAAATATTCCATGTATTCTAGACTGTGTTTGCGTAATGTTTCTAAAGTATGTTTTTCTCCATTGCTTTTAGTGAGGATTCTCCCGTTACTCAGACTGTATGAATTAGCACAATGAGCCATGGCGGGGGGGCGGGGGGGTTCTTCCTCAGGTTATAATAAGATGATGTGCTTGCCGTGCCGACTGTTTAAATTGAATATATATATTTATTTATATGATTTATATTTCCAAATATATATATATTTCCAAAATAAGTAAGACAATTTAACATTAAGTGAAAAACACTTTAAAAAAATTTACCACCTATTTAGGCTCAAGCATATCTTGAAAAATATCTGTTGGATCAAATTTTTGTTGGACATGAGTATAATGAACCCACCTACCTTTGTACCGAGGATGTTAAAATTAGGGGAAAAAAATTGAAGCCAATTTTCCTTGATGGCTTTTAAGGGATAAATCTGGTAAAAGCCTTTTTAGCACATAAAAATATCCTTTGACAGAGAGCATTTGGCTTCTATAGTTTTATAATTACTGGTAGAAATTAGGAGGAAAGGAAGAGAGTATATTTATTGCTCAGACTTTTTCCTGGGTCTGTGGTCCCCAGACTCTCCTGGAAGAAGTTGCTTATGAAAACTTCTGTTTGCCCTGGTGAATCTGCTGTTACAGCAACTGAACTCAAGCCACAGGCACGCTGCTGTTAACTAAACGGAAGAAAGGCCACTGTGACTCTGAACGTAATTATGGGAATGTGGAGCAAAGTGAACTGCAGCCGACTCCGGATGAGCCATAAGAAACAGCAATTTATGCAGAAGAGGAGCCCCACTGCGGTTTAGTATGTGATGCACGTTCCCACACACCGTGGAGGAGGCAGTCCCTTGTCCCATCTAAAGAAAATGGAATGCGGTTCTGAAATGGGGTTTATCATCCACGTCCCCACGCACTGAAGTCCACATCAGCCTCTGGAATCAGCTGGCTAGGTGATTTTATGGCTGACAACAAATATGCATTATTCCTACAAGAAGATAGGGAGACGGGTTCTTTACCTGTGAGGCTGATAGGCTTTTTAAACCTGAGAGCAGGAACTTCTCAGCTTAAAAGTATATGTTGGGAATGGCAGAGAAAAGATATAGCCAGGATACCCAGGAGATCATAAGTCTCACTAGCCTAGAATTGTGTGGGCCTCTTGGCCGTGTTTGGAAGAAGCATGAGTGTGTGGCTACAGCATGGAAGCATGTTGCATCCATGGCTGGCTGTGTGTGCCACGTGTAACTGTTTATTATCAGATCATCTAAAAAGCTGTGGCAGATTTTAGATCCCCTCTGTGACCTTTCCACGGTCTTTTGGGTTTACTTGGATTCTTTGTAGAACTCAGCTGAGATTAACAACCTGGCCCAAGTGCTCTGTCCTCTGATGAATGAAGAGTGAAGTAGAGGCCATTCATGAAAATACTTAACAACTCTATGAAGGGGAAAGTTTATTCTATTATGTGACCT